AATTATTTCAGTCTGACCACAGGCCCATAAGTCTTGCCCCAAAGGGGTGGGTGACCAACCAGCCAGTTGGCATGGTACCAGGTTGGTAGCCACAGGGTCAAGCCCCGATAGACACCCCAGCTGTCATTGCAGATAACTATAGGGGAGGGCTCCTGGCTGATCACGAGCTGCACAGCCCGCAACTCTGCCCATTGGCTGCTCTTCCCCTCACCATCTTCCATCCACATTGTCTCAGTGTTAGGATGGAAAGCTATGGCCCTCCATTTTGGGGTCTGCTCACAGCTGGAGCCATTTGTGTACCATGCATCTTCAGGTATACGGGCTCTTCCCTCCCGATAGGGACTGTCTGCTACTAATGGTTCAAAAATAAGTTCTTCCTGCTTTTCAATAGTATATGTAACCGGCCCCAACAAGCATTGGGGTTCTTCACTCAAGGGGCTCCTAGAGAGGGCACTATGCTTCTTTAGGTAAGGACCCCACTTGGTAATGTGGGTGTTTGTGCTACACCACTGCTTAACTTTTGGGTCCAGTCTCATACCCACCCCAAGATGGAATAGGTGGTTATTACCTTTATTGGGGCCATTCCAGTGATGGGTTCTGTAGCCAGCAATGCGTGATACATGGCAGCCAGTTGTTTTTCTATCAAAGTGTATCATACCTCTGCCCCTTTCCAGAGATGTGAACAGAATCCAACAGGTTGGTGAGTTCATTCAAGCCACTGTCAGAGACCCCAGCCATAACCGTCTTCAGTCACATGAATATCCATGTCACAGGGCCTTGATGGGTCTATCATATTCAAGGCCTACATGGCCTTGACTGCCTGTTTTGCTGTAGTGAAGGCAAATGCACATGTCTCAGTCCCACCTGATGCCCTTTCATACCAACTGGTATAAGGGCTTCAGAATTTGTGCCAAGTGCGGTATTAACACTCTCCAGTAGCCTAGAAGATCCAGAAACTCCTGTAGCAATGCTACAGTTGTGGGGGGTAGGAGAGGCCTGGACATTATCTATAACTGCTTCTGGTATAACTTTGGTCTTACCCAACCAGACGACCCCCAAGAACTTAACAGACAAACCAGGTCCCTGAACATTGGTGCTGTTCACAGCTCATCCTTTCTCCTGTAAATGTTGCAGCAGTCTAGGTGCTGAACCTTCTAGATCTGAAAGAGAATGAGACATGAGCATGACATCATTAATATAATAGTATAGCTGCAGCATTGGCAGTTTCTCCCATGTAGCCAAGTCCTGGGCTACAAGTACATGTCGGATGGTGGGGCTATGAAGATATCCCTGTGGAAGGATGGTGAAAGTCCATTGCTGTCCTTCCCACATGAAGGCAAACTGTTTCTGACTTTCCTGCTCAATGTCAATGGAAAAGAAGGCATTAGAAAGATCTACCACATAATGGTATGTTCCTAGTTCATGGCTGAGGGTATCCATCAAGCCTGCAATAGAGGGGACAGCAGCATGCATGGGGAGTATGACTTTATTCAATTCTCTGTAATCCACAGACATATGGTAGGAGCCATGTGGCTTTTTTACAGGCCACACTGGGGAATTGAAAGGACTATGGGTGGGCTTTATAATACCCACTTTTTCCAGCTCCTGGAGAGTTTCTCCAATCTCTTTATGCCCTCCAGGCAGTTTGTATTGTTTGATAGTAGTCACCCACCGAGGCACAGGCAAAGCTATGGGCGGGTCCCTAGCATGTCCCCTCAGAACTCCCTTCACCACACATACTCTCAGTCTGAACTCACCTGCAGTGGTCTGCAACCATAGACCATGCAGAATATCAATCCCCAAAATATACTCAGGAATAGGAGAGATATACACAGTATACTCTTTTGGGGGTAGATGCCCTATATCCAAAGGGATTTTGGCTTTTCTCACCCTGATAGCCATCCCCGCATATCCATCTATGATAGTGGGGGTCCCGGGGAACTGCTCAGGGTTACCATGAATCAGTGAACATTCAGCCCCTGTGTCCACAGAGCCAGGACATGTTGTATGTTCACTGGGGACCAATGGGTAGGTATTTCAATATGCAGCCTCCATCCCTCCCTGATCCCTCAAGGCAGATACCTTGACCTTTCCCTTAGTCAAACCATGTTTACCAATCACCTTCCTGTGTGGGCTCAAGTGAGGTTGGTTCATTCTCTGGCAGGAAGTTTTGCAAACACACAGGCTGGACTCGGGGCTGTCTCTGACCTCTGCCTCTTTGGTCTTAATGGCTGGAACTGCTGCTCTGGTTCCAGCGGTTGCCATAGCTCTAGTAAGATCCTATTTGACTTCTCATCTAATTTCCTTCCATCTGCTCCTGCCTGTATTAAATCAACCCATATTGGGTCCTCGTAACCTTCACAGAACCCTGTAGATTCTTCTTGTAACAGGTCTTATTTCTTTCTGGATTCTCATTGCTTCAGCCTCTCCTAAGTCTGCTACTGTACATGTCACCTCACTTATGGGATGCCCTAAGGGAGGGGAAAGAATGGCCACTAGAGACCCAAAGAGGGATGTAGGAGCCATTTGAAATACAGTATTTCTCATCTCAGTAGTGAAAATCTCTTCCTCTGGGCCATAATTGTCTGGACTATAGGTGGCATTTCTTATGCCTAGCTCTTGTAACACCTGTTGGAGCTCAGCATATGTCTGCCATCTAGCAGTAGAGGATGGCAGATCACCCTGATTGAGCCACACAGCACGACGTGCAGTCATAAGCCAATTGAGGAGGGAGTGACTCCCTGGGGTCTGATGTGCATTTTGTAATCACTGCCTCAAGGTAGGCTGCACTGTCATGGAAGACAGCTTTCCCATCTATAATCCCGACAGAACAATTTCGTCCACCCCAAAGTCCCACAGACGCAGGAGCCAAGCTGATATTGACTCCGAGTGCTTCTGCCTAAACCGGGAGCCCAAACGCACCAGCTCAGCCTGAGTATAGGAGTGGACCATAGAGTGCTCCATTACCTGGGAAGGGGGCTGCTCCTCTCCTTGGGGAACTTTCAGCTGCTGGGTCTTTATTTTCTTCACAACCACTGGGCATGCTTTCAATACAGGAGGGGCCAGTGCCTCCGGCACCAGCCCTTCATCCTTCCCCAGCTCCTCCATTTCTGGAGCTGATGGCACCTTTCTCTCCCCTCGCCTGAGTGCCTCCTCTGCTGTAACCTTTACATTTTCTACTGTGCCTCACGGCAGTGCCAGCTCAATCTTCAGAAGGTCTCTTACCTTCAGCTCAATGCTTTACAGCTGATGTTCTCATCCCACCTCTGCCTGTGCTTCCCTCAGGAGTTTGTCCTTTTCCTTGATGACCTCTTCCTCCTTCAGAACACCTGGCAGTGCTACCATCTCATCTCCAATGGCACCTTGCTGATGGCACTCTCATGCTGCCTCCTCCTGCATCAAAGCCATCTCCTTCCTCAGGAAATCCACAGGGATTTGTAGCTCATGTTCTCACACCACCATTCCTTGGGTCTCCTCTGTAGACCTTTTTAAGACTGTGACAAGCAGCCAACACACAGTCCCTGCCTCCTCCCAGGCATTCTGCTTCTCAAAGGATCTGCTTACTATACCAAGGGCCACCCCTACTGCCTCAGGTGTCACCTCCACTTGCCTCCAGCCCTGGCGTGGGGCCCAGTCCTCTAGGAGGCAAGCCACCTCAGACCACATACCCATTGGGGGATGACCCACTGTTTTCCCATTCACACGGGCAGCCCGCTGAAGTACCCCTCCCATAAGGGCAGCCTGTCTTTTCCCTTGGTCAACAGTGAATCCTGCCAACTACACGAATTGTCTTGCCAATGGGTTTCAGCCCTGGGCAAGTTCACTATGGATTCACTGTGACCAAAGAAATCAACAGCAAAATGTTCTTGGGTTGAAAGGGTTTATTACCCGGCTTTTTCTCCAGTGGTATGTTGAGCAGTAGTGTCTCTGCCTCTGCACAGAGCACTGGGCCGAGCTCTCTATATAGCACAATGACAGCTTATTGCCTTCAGGTGTGGAAGTGGCAGCCCAGTAATAGGCCAGTTCATCATCAGGTGGTTTAAATTCAGTGAGGATCCTAGCCATAGGAACCCCAACTTCCCCACATAAGGATTTTCAGGGAGCACTCTGCCTGGCTCCAGGAAAGAACAATATCCAGTTCAGGTCTCTCTGTGCCCTGTTCAGGGTCAACTTTAGCCTTTTAATGGGAGGTACTGCTGTTTCAGTTGGTGGACTGTTTTTCTTCCTTCAGTTCCAGCATGTTTTGTGAAAGCCTTCAAGGTACATCAGTAAAAATTGTAGCTTTCTTGAAGATTTCCTAATACTGCAGCTTTATTAAGAATTCCTTACCTTCTGAACCCAACTTTGGCCTCCTGTTCCCCCATTCTGCTAAAGTTCAAGGCTGCAGCTGACCCATAAAGCATCTTGCTTTTCATTGCAAATAGCCAACACTGAGGTGTGAAAACTAAGCTAATTAGAAACAATCCCTCAGTCGTCCAAGCAAATATCCTCACTTGCTGAAAGAGCCTGGTTGAGGCTGCTCAAGATGTGCTCTCTACAGATGCATTTCTCAGTTTCCTAGCATAAAAGCCCATCTTTTAAACAATGATATTACGTTTAAATAACCCTTTTTGAGAGATGCTTGGTCCTGGAATTCCTTGTGCATATTAAAATTGTAAATAATCCTGTCATTTGGAATAAATATCAATGTGCATGTCATAATTGAATTCACCTCTAATTAATGTAGCATTACTTTGTGGCAAAGATGGATTAGCTTCTCTTTTCTGATTGCCCTTGAGTGTTGTCTTGAATATTGCTGATGAAGTCAATAAGGGCTGTGCATTGATTTTCAGACACAAGGACCATCATCAGCCCAGCTCCAGACGTGCCCCCAAGACCAGCAATGTTCAAGAGCGTGATGGCCAAGACCACGGTGAAATGCATGAGGGAGTGAGTAGCATGTTGCCTGAGCCCTGGGAGAGAGCAATGGCAGGGCATATCTACAAAGTGGGACCGTGTTCCGTGATGCTCTCCACTTGGTCTCCACAAAAATAGCAGCTGTACTTTCCTGGAAGCAGCAGTGAATGGCATGTGCCAAAGCTCAGCTGAAAAGTCCTGACTCTGCATCACAGGCACCTGCTATGGTCTGAATGTGTTCCCCATAACTGATAGCTTGAAATCCTAATCCCAGAAGGAAATGTTATTGGGGGGGGGGCTTTGGGAGGTGCTTAAATCATTAGGGGGGGTGCTCATAAATAGAGTTAGAGCCTTGTCAAGAGGCTCTGGAGAGCTGCCTCACCCCTCTGCCATGTGAGGACACAGTGAGACAGTGGCCATCGTGCACTGGGAAGAGGCCCTCACCAGACACGGAGACCACCAGTATTTCGCTCTCGGACTTCCAGCCTACAGAGCTGTGAGTGACACATTCCTGCTGTTCACGAGCCTCCCGGTCTCTGCTGCACTGTTAGAGCAGCCGGAGTGGGCTGAGGCAGTGTGGACTTTCGGGCAAAGAAGAGACCCTCAGCCTCCTAGGCTAAAATTCTCCATACAGTTCATGTCACCAGGGGTTTGCAAACCCTCTGTAAAGGCTAGATAGTAAATGCTTCAGTGAAACATTATTTTTTGACAGGAATTTGAATTTCACATAATTTTCAGGAATCACAAAAAATTATTCTTTTGTTTTTTTATTCTTCTTTTGATGTTTTTCAATCATTTAAAAATGTAAAAACTATTCTTATCCTCCAAGATGTACAAAAACCATGACAGGCTACATTCGGCCTGTGGCTATACAGTTTGTGGACCTCTGCACACATGTCCTAACTCAGAAACTTCTCTCTAAAAATCAGCTTCCTATATTGATGCTGGCTGAGTAGTTAGGGAAGTTCAGCAAGAATAATTTTCAGTCAGCTTGCAATTATATTGTTCTTACACCACCACACATCCTCATCCAGGCTAATGTTTGAAAGCAAAGGAGAAAAAGTGTTGAAAGTTATTTCCAGACACAAAGCTGGTAATCTGTTTAGCTGTTTTTTGTGTTCAAGTTCTGCTAGAGTGGTCCCAGGGTAACATAGTTCCCATGGCAACAAGCGATTCCTGGAATTGGAAGTGAGGCCAACTGGGCTGCACTCCCGTGTGCCTGCTTTCGCCTCTTCTTGCTAGGAGATTATGAAGAAGGCTTTGCTAATCTCCCAGTTGATAATCTTCAAAGAAAAAGAACTCACTCATTTTGCCCTTAAAATTTAATAATGTGGTGTCAGTTTTTTGATCTAGGACTTCATTAGTTTTGCAAAGTACACAACCTCCCATTTCCTAGGATATTATGAAATGCTTTAAATAATTAAAATGAAAGTAGTTTTGCCAAGATAAATGACAAAGATTCATTCTGGTTTTTCATTTATTCCTGGTATGTTTGTTCTTCCTTGTCATGTGACTCAACTTGACTGGTATTTTCTGGCTCACATTTTACTGCGGGTTGATGCAGTTTGGGCCTCCTCCCTGTGGACGGTGTTGCTCTTCTAGCAGAATGCCCTGTCATTCCCTCCAGTCCATGTCACCAATGCCTACCATTCCAGAAAAGACAAAGTGGAAGTGGAGGCTGCCCACCTCTGTATCTTCTGAGGATGTTGTGTTTCCTTGGTCTCTTAGAGGCAGAACACAGCCAGAGGAGAGGGAACCTTGTGTTCTTTCACTGTGCAGAGGTGTACTGTAGGCTCTGTGTGTGGACAGCAAGTGCTGGGGTGCAAAAAGCAATGAGCAACCTGTCGCCAGGGAGACTGCAATGCAGAGAAAGCACCAGACTGCAAAGTGAAAAGCTGAATGACAACACAGTGATTACGAGGTATGAGGTGATGGTTAAGAAAAGCCGCCAAAAGTACAGCCTAGAAAGTATAGTCAAATTATCATCATATCTTAGTATGGTTGATAGATGGAAACCACACTTATTGGGGTGAGCATTTAGTAACCTGTGTAATTGCCAAATCACTATGTTGTACACCTAAAACCAATATAATACTGTATATCAACTATACTTCAAGTTTTAAAAAAATCGGAAAAAAGCACCCCCAGATGTTAGCAGATGGCAAGAGCTTCAAGGTGAGAAAAGGAAGTTGAGGAGGACTCTGGGAGAAGTGGGGACTTGGTCGTGGCCTTAAATAGAGAGGTAGGATTTGGAGAGGTTCAGAGAAGGAAGGGGAGGCTGGAGGGCTGCATATTTACAGTCTGAGTCTTGGCTTCACTGATAAATATCTTTCTGACCTGAGGGGACTGATTTTTCTAAGGCTCAGTTTCCTCATTAGCAAAATCGTCATAATACTGTCATCACAGCTGGGTCCCCAGGAAGCAAAGCTGGAGCTGAGGATTACTGGGCAGCAGATTCTGAGGGTGTGTTGTGAGGCCAACATCTGTGGAAAGGAGGGGAAGGAAGAGACTGGGCACAGGGACACATCAAGCTGTGTGGCATGGGCTCCATGCAGGCCTCAGTGGTGACCGAGCAAGAGGCTCTCAACCACGGTTTTCCACCAGGGGTGCTCCCAGCAGCTGAGTTCCTGCAGCGCCTGCTGAGCTGAGGAAGTGACGCACGCTGTGTGAACCGGATACATACAGGAGGCGCTCTTAAGGAAAAACCAGGTGTTTGTTACTTATTGCTAAGGAGTCAAGGAGATAGCTTCTTGTTCAAAAGGCTCTAGGGAAGGGAATGCAAGGGATGTGTTTCAGGGATACTGATTACATTAGGTTTAGCATGTTAATTAAAAAGAAAGATTTTGAATGAAGTCAAACCTATAGAAAAGTTGTGATAGCACAATGAACACTAGTATATGTTTCATCTAGATTCACCAGTTCTTAACGTTTTGCCATATTTGCATCTCTCCACATATGCATATAACATGTACATATAACATAAATACAAATGTATTTATAAATTACTAAAATAATTATTATTATTGCTTTGTCATTTGAAAATGTTTTGTTCATCATGATTCTTCCAGTCCATGTTACAAATTCCCAGTCGCCCCCACAGTTGCCTTGATAGCGGTTGTTTCCATTGCAGGATGCAGGCTGTGGTCACACATGGCCTGCAGCTACTATGTCTCTGCTGTCATTTGTTCTGGACAAGTGCCTCAGTTACTCATTGTCTTAGATGACATTGACAATTTTGACACATGCAGGCTGGTTATTTTGTAGAATGTCCCTCAATTCTGGTTTGTCTGGAATTTCCTTCATTAGATCCAGTTATACAGTTTATACATCTCCTTTATTAGTGATACTGTGTTCTTCTGAATTTTTAAAATTTAGTTTTGGGAAATTGCAGACATATACAAAACTAGTCAGAAGAGTATAATTAATCTCATCAACCAGTTTAACAATTATCAACTCATGGTAAACCTTGTCTTATCTCTATTCTCATCTCCTCTGCCATGTTACTTTTTTTATTTTGTTTTATTTTTTTGAAGAACATGTTTACTAGGCTCTCCCCTACCCCAAGCCCCCCCGCAAACCCCATTGCAGTCACTGTCCATCAGCATAGTAAGATGTTGTAGAATCACTACTTGTCTTCTCTGTGTTGCAAAGCCCTCACCTTTCCCCCACCCCCCACATTATACATGCTAATCATAATACCCCCTTTCTTCTTCCCCGCCCTTATCCCACCCTACCTTCCCATTCTCCCCAGTCTCTTTCCCTTGGGTAACTGTTAGTCCATTCTTGGGTTCTGTGATTCTGCTGCTGTTTTGTTCTTTCAGTTTTTCCTTTGTTCTTATACTCCACAGATGAGTGAAATCATTTGGTATTTGTCTTTCTCCACTTGGCTTATTTCACTGAGCATAATACCCCCTAGCTCCATCCATGTTGTTGCAAATGGTAGGATTTGTTTTCTTCTTATGGCTGAATAATATTCCATTGTGTATATGTACCACATCTTCTTTATCCATTCATCTACTGATGGACACTTAGGTTGCTTCCATTTCTTGGCTATTGTAAATA